ATTTAAAAAATTTTTTCACAATTATTTTTGTTAATTAAAGCCCAAAAAAACCCCCAAAAAATTTTACCCCCCCATATGCCCGCCCCCCCCCCCCCCCCGATCTTAGAAGGTTTGGTGAGGATAAGGGTGATTTTTAAACCACGATCTTCTTAAAATTTCATGAGAAAAGAAGTAAAGAGAGAGACAAGACAAGAATAAACCAAATATTACTTGCGGTGGACGATAAAATACACTATCTCCAGCCGGTCGTTCGGTTTTAAAATCATCACTAAAATAAAAGATAATTCCAATTATACTAATTCTACATGTCTGCATGGCAACTGTTACGAAACTGATATATTTACACGAATATCGTATGGCAGTACTGCTCTTGTATAAGTGTAAGAACTATACTCATATCAAGAGAGAGCCTTACTACCTAATTTATTATTGCACAGGCTACCAATACTGTTAGCTCTATTGAAAGAAAGCCAAGATCGAAATCTGTGCTTATTAAGATATATCAATCTTCAAAACATGAATCATACTAGTATGAAGGACCAACAAAACAAAGCTTACACAACTATTTACGTACAGTAAAAACAGCGTCTGATCTCAGAAAGTCCTTTCCTTTGTCACATCTATGCGTCACGATACAAAAATTTTGTAAGAAAATTCCATATTATACTGCTAAGTACTTATAAAACTAGAAAAATTTTGTAGTAATACTACACCTAGACGTAGTAATCCACTGTCACTTCATATAAAATAGTATTTAGCTACACATATTTTTGCTATCTCGTAGACTACAATCTTTCAACTCTATTGAAAACATGACACAGTTTTCAAAAAAAAAAACAAACGCTTAGGATAAGTCAGACTAACCCTCCTACTGATGCTGCAAAATTGCATTCATCTCTTAATAAACTTGCTGCTTTTGCGAATATTGGATAATTTGGACTTTGTTCATTCTCGAAGTGCCCGATAATATACCGTTTTTTAACCTAAACAATCAGTAAAATGAATTAGAGATGCTAAAAGATCTAAAACACGTCTGCTTACATCAAGAGTATAAAGGTCAGTTAACGTTTGAAGTTTGACAATGGGTGATACAACTTGTTTTCTAATAAAATCAACCAATTGATCGACCTGTCTGGAAAGGTGAAACAATTCGGTTAAACTCACGAAGTTGTAGAGTCAAAAAGAAAAACTCTTTTACCTAGCTCCTCTATATTCTCTTTTTGTCATCACACCATATCTGTACATTTTCAATGTGGGATATTTATTTACACGATATTTCGTAGAAATAGCATCTACAAACGGAGTAAACGACAAACTAAAGTGCACCGTACTATCACCTCTTTTCTCTTATAACTTACTTTCTGCATCACAGTCAACTTTTCCAATAAGAACAAGTCCAGGTTGCTAAAATAAATACAAACGTTAATCAGAACATTCATAATACCATCCGTATAGGAAAAAAGAAAACACAGGATGATCTCTGTGTAAGAACTTGAGTGAAAACTCAGATGAGTAAATACATACTGGAAATTCTTTAGCAATTTTATCGGCAAATTCATCATAAATAGGATTTAACATTTGACTAAACCGACACCTAAATAATAAAATAAAAACCGGTTATAGCTAGAAAATTTGAAGAGAAAAAAATCCAGTTATACTACCAATTGGCGTAGAAATTAAGAAAAACAACTTCATTGCCAGCTAAAATGAGAAAAAATCATTTTAGTTTCAAACAAATAATGCAGTAGAAAAACACACAAGAGTATGTAAATTGTGGTACCATCTCTTACATTTAAGTACTATTACACTTAGAAAGCACCTTTATTCGAGACGAGTGCTGGACTTTCTCCTTATAGACTCAGTAAACTAAGGATACTTCTTTCAATATCTAAACACCTAATTTTTAGGAAAATCACTAGCTGCGAATATCATAGTCATTTGGCGTTCTTCTTGAATTTTTACTGAGAAAAAGTAGTAAAGCGTTACTTACACAAAATACTGTCAACATTCGCACTAGTAATCTGTACTGCACCTCCATACACTCCCCATACAGAAAAAAAGAGCTAAAGAGTAAAACATGCCTCATCACCATGATACTACACAAGATTATAATTTTAATGCTTACAGTAACGATTAATGTTTTTAAATAATGACGATATGAAAATGAATTCCAACACATGAAAAAAATGAAGGATGGAGACAGACAGGCTTAATCTAAAACAAAAGCCTACTGAGACTAACTGAAAGAACAACACGTTTAGATTTTTCCTTTATATGAAGTGACTTTTATTAAATTGCGCAGTTTTCGGTATGTCTAACGGAAGAAGACATCATATGATTTTAGAGATGGAATTTTCTTCTTATTCACATGGCAGGATAGACACAATGAACAAACATACGAAATCCAATAATAACAATGAATGAAAGAAGAAAAAAATAAGTTGTCCAGTCTAGAGTAATGAATTACCATCTGATACTGATTCATCAAGGCTAAATACCAACGAGAACTGACTACGTGAGGAGTTCAACAATTGGTCTAGCGCTAAATAGACGTTGGAGTTCAAATTCAAATGTAATTATAAAAAGTCATTTGAACGATTTTCTATATAGATATCGTCTTCAGAAGAGAAGAGAACTTTGTTTAATACAAACAAGTGCATAAACGGATCGACATCTTTAGAGGCAACGGATAATATAATAAATAAACAAGATGGTAACAATTTACTCCGTCGTTCACTTGGAAAATATGAAAAACAAGGTTTTGTTTCGTTCTAAAGAATCTGTGGAAGCTTCAAAAACGAGATGAAGAAGCGCTCGATAATGTGTCAACTCTTTCACCCAGTTTGTTCATCTGTGTTCGTTTATAGATGAGAAAATGAAAGCATATCCGACTTTTCAAGAGATGGGGCTGATTCAAAAGCCTACAAAATGAACATTCGAGGACTTGATAAACGTATCTATAAACGTGAAGAATGTAGTTTTTTTAGATATTTGACCTTTAGCTTGATTTACTGTAAACTCGTCAACGTATCAAAATGCAGTTCAGTTTCGTGTAAAAGTATGAGTCGATAACGAATCAGAAGATTGTATCATAACAAATGTTAAAATACTTAAGCCTTCATTCCAACGTTGGTTAGACGCATAATCAGTCAAACCTTACGAGTACATTAATAAAATTCTTGAATACTTTAAACTAAGTCACGGTCATCTAAAACTGGCAAATGTCGAATTTAGGGTCTAATACATTTTACACCAGTATCTCATGAATCGTCCGTATGATTTTAAAGAAAAATTGTCAGAATTATATGCAAAAGGCATGTACATCTATGGTGCGCTTTTTATTTAACTGTTATTATCCATCATCTCTGGAATAGATTATTTCATACTTTTTATGATACGATCTTCGGGAGTACTTATATACTGTATACTTTTCAGTGTGGAAAAGTTTTTTATGCTATTCAAGTTTAAAGATACGTTTAAAAAGTCCTCGAATGTTCATTATGTGAGATTTTTGTTTCAGTCCCATCACTTTTTCGAAATCCATACATTCAAACAGTCGAGGATGCTTCCATTTTCTCGTATACAAAAGAGCAAACTACGTGGGAGAGTTGACAAATTATCGAGCGCTTTTTCCTCTCATTTTTGAAGCTTCCACTCTTTAGAACGAAACAAAATCTCATTTTTCATGTTTTTGTAACGTAGAAATTATTAGTCTTTTCTGAGAACAGTTATGATTAAATAAACTCAGATTATTAAACGAATCAGCGTATTTTATCATGTTTGTTTTCAGTCGAATAAAAAATCTAATTCATCAAATACTATGCATAAAATGAATTTTATGTAACTCAGGTTGTAATATCCGCTCTGTTTTAGATTTTGTATACATATTGATCCCCTTTTGGGCGTTAGCAAGTGCATGTGTGTTTGAGTAATCGTGTTCTGAGTCAGATGAGTGCCGATAAGTATGTATATCTTCATATTCTTCAACAGTCTACAAGTTGTTCTCTGCTCATGTTTTAAGTACTCTACAAGCAATGCAAACGGATAGTGAATGTGAATCAGATGTTTCATCCTTAGCGGATTGTTCAACTGGAACTTTATCTCGTGAACATTTATTAAAACGCATTGAATCACTAATGCAAGAAAATCGAGTACTCAAAGTTGAGGTTGAAACATATAAGCTAAGATTAAAAGCAGCACAAGAAGAAATTAAACAATTAAAACAGTATGTATTGCTTTTGTTTATTTATTTAGTTAGGTAGAAAAACATGTTATAAGTTTCAGGATACGTTAATGTATGTTAAACATTTGTTTTTCCCAATATAACTGCAGCATAAATTTCCAGTGCTAATCTTTTTTTCGTTAGTGTTGTTACTTTGTAATCTTATCATGGAAGTAGTTGACGATAAAATATTGACATTTTGTTTTTTCTCTTTTTTTTGTACTATTTCGCTCAGTTCGTTTATAGGCAACCATTTGTTATATCCTGATGTGAAGGGATGTACACAGAAAAGAGAGCAGACGTGGTAGTTAAGGTGATTTCATCAAGTAATCGACTTCGCTATTTTTTGTATCATACAGGGTGTTTTGTAATCGGCGACGCTAAGCGACGGTAATTTCGGAAATTGCAGCACTGATTCCGGTCTCTTTATAGCTCATCGTTTCTTGTTCTTTTAGGTAGTCATCTCTAATATCTTTATTTTATTTGCGTGACTCCTTTTTTTTAGTGTCAGTGTTAATATTCAAGCACGTGCTGAACAAGAAGAGGAATTCATCTCAAATACATTGTTAAAAAAAATTCAAGAATTAAAAAAAGAAAAAGAAACATTAGCCAATAATTATGAACGTGAAGAAGAATATTTAACAAATGATTTATCACGAAAATTATTACAATTGCGTGAAGAAAAACAAAATCTTGAACAAACAATCGAACAAGAACAAGCATCACAAGTAAATAAATTAATGAAACGAATTAAACGTTTAGAAGCCGAAACAATGACAAAACAAAATACATTAGAACAATTAAAACGTGAAAAAATTGAGTTGGAAAATACGTTAGAAAAAGAACAAGAATCACTCGTGAATAGGTAAACGATATAGTATCGAACAAACTCTAGAACCTTTAGAGCTGCATAACAGTGTTTATTCTTTTGTTTTTAATCTATTAATAATTAGACAGAGAGAAGAGGCTTTTTAGCTTATGTTTTGTGGTTGTAAAACGAGTCAGTTGTTTATTTTTTATTTAGATTATGGAAGAGAATGGAAAAATTAGAAACAGATAAACGTTTATTACAAGAAAGATTAGATCAACCAAATAACGATAATAATAATGTAAGTACTCGTTCGACCGGAGCCCAAATCTCAAAAGATTTTGACTTTAGTTTCTTTTCGAAGAAAAAAAATTATTTTCAATGCATAAAAACTTTTAGTTGACTTCTCTATTTCTTGAAAGATATCCACTGTACTTCCTGTTATTTTCAAAGCGTTAAGGAAACATTGCCTTTTCTTTTCAGGTTAATCCAACATCAAGTGTTGCGGCAACCATTGATCCATCATCATCACCTGTGCATCATCATTTAAGTCTTCATGATGACGCTGTGCCAACAACGCCCACAAATCAAACTCATCCTCGTGTAATTCAATCGCCTCGTCTTTCTTTACCTAACATTGATCATATCACTCAGTTACGACGTGAAGTCGAAAAATTAAAACGTGAACTTTTACATACACAAGAGCAACATCGTGAAAAGATGGAACACTATTTACGAGAAGAGCGAGATATTCGAAATGAAAATTTGAGATTACAAAGAAAATTACAATTGGAAGTATGTTTTTACTTATCATCAAACCTTTTTTCTTTATAAAAAATGTATTGATACTTTAAGGTTGACCGCCGTGAACAGTTATGCCGTCAATTGAGTGAAAGTGAATCGTCATTAGAAATGGATGAAGAACGTCAATTAAATGAACGAATTAAATTAGGTGGAACAACAACATCAGAACTCATGAACACAAGTAGTGGAACAAGCAGTACATGTAATCTGAAACAACAGTCATCCACATCGTCATTACCAAAAACACATGTTCACCCTTCATCTTCATCATTATATCAACAACGTGTAACACGAGCAAGAACAGTATCATCGCCATCCAATTCCAGTGGCGAACAACAAATAACGGGATTATCAACAGATCTATTAAGCGCAAGTAATAAATTCATAGTTTTAACTTTTTTTCGTATTTTTGCATCTTTTTTTTTTTGATTAATTTCAGTTGGTGGACCATCTTCAACTGTTCAAAATCTGTCAAATCGTCTTTCAATTCCAACGTCAATGAGTGAATTAACATCTTCTACCGCCTTTCAAAAACCATGCACTACCACAGCACAGACTCGTCGACAACAGCGAAGTCTACGAACAAATATTCAACAAGATCATAGTATGGACGAAAGTGAGCATTCAGATAGATAAACATTGAATATCTTTCTCTTACTAAACCTGAAAATGTTCTAAAACTTCTGACTATTCTTTTTTTTGCACATATATTAAAACACCTGTTCTTTTCTTCTTCTTGCTCTTGGTGGGGGCTGGTGAGTTTTTTTAATGTTTATATGTTCTATAGATTTGCTCAAGTTAAATTTGTTCTTGGCAGCTTATTTTTCAACGGATGTTAAATGTTTTTTTCTCTTTTGTTTGTTTTCTATTCGTTCATCGACTGATTTATATCTGGAACGGGAATGTTTTTTTTTTTTGTAATTCAAGAGTAGCTTACGATTTACAGCACTACGATGTCATGTATTTTTCTCTTTTGCGTCCAATTCTTATTTACAAAAATTTTGGGTAGTATAAATAAAAAATTGCGCTATTATTATTCAAGAAGACCCTATGTTATTATTACTATGGGTATATTAGGAAGTCAGACAGTTTTAAGTAACAACAATGTTTGACTTCCAATGAAAACATTTTGTCAGATTTATGGTTTCAGAACGTACAGGAAATGAACTAAATGGCCGACTGGTATTGTTAATTACAAAAAAATGGTTTCCAAATGCTGCTGATGTAAGTGTTGACGTGTTCCTTATCTATTAGTGACACTATTATTTACCGATGACCGACTGCAGAGATTGCAGTTTATTCTTCTGAACTATCTGGTAATATAGAAATTCTCAACAATATGTAGTGGTACATCAGCAACAAACAATGATCAAACTAATATCATAGATCGAAAAACATATATAGATATTCCTCAATTGAAATACTTTCTTGACAACAACATCCGACATGGGCCTATTGCAGAACTCATGTATCAGCATTTTACATCTGTTCTACTAGTTCTCAATACAGAAAACAATAATAGTAAATACTCGCGTGTTTGTTTCGAACAGACAATTAGTCGTTCGTAGTGCTAACAACTCGTATTTTACTGAATGTCTCTCTGACGGCACTCGAATACATTCTGTTAGAGATCTGTAAAAGGGTAAATGACTTTGTTTTACTTTCGAAATATGAAATTTCTTATTTTTTTAGATCAAGGCAATAATGAAAAATGTTAGCTCATTTTGAACAATAAAATGTATTCACGATCATTTGAATAATCGTACATACATATCTATATGAAACAGTTACAAGTTTGATGAAAAGTTGTTTTTTCTTTTGTTATTCATTTTTGAAATGTATTCAAACAGTATCAGTGACAGGATACTCATATATTCCAGATTTATTTATGTATAAAATCAAGAATTTATTCATTTTTTAATGATTCTGACAATAGTGACATGAAAATAATATGTTTTGTTGTTTTATATGGAAAAAAAAATTGACCATCGTTATATATTTTAATGACTTATGAAATATTGACGATCAGTCGAATGACACTAGATAGAAATAGTGAGTTGTTGTTTTTTTGTTTTATTTTTCAGAGACGAATATTTTATTTGACTAAAATTCTTTCAGAAAACTATCCCAGATCGTTACCAAATATTGTCTTGAAAATCTAGTTTGTTGAATTGATTATGAAAATGTTGTAATATACCTTCACGTAATCAAGTTGCACTTATATCAGAGATGGATCGATATATTTTTGTTAAGATTTATCTGACAAAGTTTTGGATATGGTTTTTAACTTGGTTACTTTACACGCCCAATAAAATTTCATCTGATCGGCCAAAAAATTTTATCATACATATATGAGATAATATCTCAAACCACTCATTTTGTTTCGTTTTTGACTTTTTCTTCTCGAGTTATGAAACAAATACAAAGATTTGCATAGAAAACTATTAGACGAATAGAAAACGATTAAAACAAAACTTTAAAAAATTCATAACTTGTATAGAAATGGTCTTGGAAGATTGAACAAACTTTAATATTTCATTATCGTATAATGCAGACTATCAGTGGAGCTTACTGTAAACAAATATGTAAATCATTTTAACTCGAGATGCTATAGAAGATAGTAGAATTCGATTATTATCGTGAGTTTTTATTTTTAATTCAATCAATGGAAGATTGAACCTGAACGTATGTGGAATAATGCTTGGTCTTCTAGGACAACATGTAGCAGCTTCCGTTTAGAATCGTCCATATTATTTAGTCTATCTGAAACGTCCCAAAACTGCTAAATCAAAATTGAGAAATTTCTGATTAACGATTGTAACAAATCTCAAATGAGCTTACAGTCTATCTAAATTTCTTTCTCTTTAATTTTCTCATTCTAGATGACAAATATCGACTATTGGCGTCCAGCGTCTATGGAATGGGGCTTTTACGATCCTTTGATGGCCGGTAGTATCGATGGAACAGATGTCGAAGCACATGATCGAGCTATTCTACGAGCATACAACACAAAATACAAAAAACCATTGCACGTAAACACGAAAAACACATTATTCATTTCACGATTACCACCAACATGTACTGACACAGGTCTAGAGCAAATGTTTGAAAAAAAGGTATAAAGTTGAATGCAAGATGTTTTTGAGAAATTTTCCATTCTTTTGTTTTTTAGACTATCAAAGTTCATTTTATTCGTGATGTGGTCACATGTGAACCGAAGGGCTACGCATTTATTGAAATGGAAACGCGAGAAGATGTTTACGATGCATTGAACAAAGAATGGCGTTATGAAGGTCATTTGTTGTTGGTTGAACCGTGTTATTCTCCACTGGTTGGATGGAAACCTCGACGATGTGGTGGAGGTCTTGGAGGGAAACGTGAGTCGGGACAACTAAGATTTGGAGGCAGAGATCGACAATTTCGAAAACCATATCGCGTATCTGAGCAATTTCAGCAGCGACTGGAACAATTAAAAGAAAATGTTCGAAAACAAGAAGAAGAAGAAGAGAGAAGAAAGAAAAAACACGAATATGAGTGAGTAAAAAGCCTGGTATTGTGATCGTAATTGTTTATACACTTTTAAGAAGTTGCTTTATTAATTTAGAACATCGAGAAGTAAAAATCAATCAAAACATGTCTCACCATCTCCATCATCAACCGAAAATACACATCGACAACATAAACAAAAGAAAGCTAAACGAAAACGATCAAATTCATATGATAAAGTATCGCCATCGAAAAAAGAACATAAGAAGAAAAAACATAAAAAAGAGCATCGTCATCATTCTCATAAAAAATCCGGCGTCTCTCAAATATCGACAACATAAAATTGCTTTTTTTTCGTAATTTTGAATAATGTTTCATTATTTTTCCAGGTAAACAGATTTTATGAACATTCTTCGTTTTTGCATTCTATGATCTTCTTTTATTATCAGCTTATTATTATATGATTTTGTTGTATTTATTTTTTAGGGAATATTGGACAAAATATTTGGATATTTGTGATAAAACTGGAAGGCGTTCATTTTCTATCATTGGACAAATTTATATACACATTGACGAAGTTTATATTCTTATCAATTATTTAGAACTGGATGTTTTGTTGCGAGATGATGAACATTTTCCTCAAAATTTAATTGAACAATTCGTTACTCTATAGATCCTGTACATATTGAATGTGTGTATATGGAATTATTAACTATTGCATTCAGCTATATACTTGTGTTGTTGATTGCGCTGATTATTGATCAATCCGAATGAGAAAAATAAAATCAACAAGAAAGAAAGTGGATTAGTTATACGTTGGATAGTAATTTTTTTCACATCTAAAAGTACTAGAAGTGGACTATTATGATTTTACTGATGGTAGTTTGAATTGTACTCTATAAATAAAAACAAAAAGCTTGTTTTGGGATCGTTTCCTGACGCCTGATGCTTAGGTCGGCAAAATACGAAAATATGACCTTTTTTGATGTTTTTGGCCAATCATTTTCGTTCACTATCGTACGTACATGTCCAAACCATTTCACCCTATTTCTACGCATGATGTTTTCCAAATAAGGTTGACTAATTAATCCAATAATTTTCCATTAGACATCCTAGCCCCTAAATTGACTCCAATAATTATTCTTAGAAAGCACATGTACCAGATATCAGCAGTTTTTTCTTGAGCTACTGTCACAGCTCACACTTCACTTCCATATAGGAAAACAGATAACACGCAGGCACGAAATATTCGTGTTTTGGCTGCATAATGTAAAATACTCTATCATGTCGATTGTTTTGGATGACAATATCAATTTTATATCGTTTACCATTTGATTTTTGTGTATGTTTCCAGCTGTCTTCTTTAAACTGTTTTAACGACATAATGCATATTTTTTTGGCGCTCATTGTTAATCTAAATTTTTGTGTAATTTTTTTAAATGCACATATAAATTTCTTACGGTCTCCTTGTAGTTTCGAGCGTTACCACTACATTATTCGTATATGTCGAATCGAATATTTTAAGATCCTCACAAAAAGCGTTAATGGTATGAAAAAAGTGATTACTTCAGCATGTCAATTCCAGCTTCTTATGATGAAATCAAAGATAGTGTTGAGTAAAACTGGAGATATTATACATTCTTATTTTACTCTATTCTTTCCTATTTAAGAAAATACTCGTAATTTGTATTTGTACTCTGTGTACGCATAGTCACAAATCATGCTCAAGAGATCACACCGGCAAATAAGCTAGTTATGGAAGAAATCCAATATGAAGCATTTGAAAAACAAATATTTTCAAAAAAGATTAGATTATATAAAAGCAGTGGGGATGTGAATATATAATACGAAATAGAAAAAGCTCTCTTTCAGTATAACAATTGTGATCGAGAAGCTGAGTGTTGTTGAACATAACATGTCTCATCTTCGTTCTGGCTAGCAGTACCGATTCGACACACCTTTTCCAAAATGCGTTTAATTGTTGAAAACATTGGTCGATCTTGTACTCTAAATGTCCAACATTTCGACATGATAGAACGATAGATCGGTTGTGGACATAATTGTGGCCTTGTTGGCATATGACACGATTTGATCAGTTGTGCAGCAAAATCATTCTGGATAATTTTACCAAACGGTGTATCACCCAAACTATATATTTCCCAGAGAAGTACTCCAAAGGACCATACATCCGATTTAATCGAATATTCACGACGAAATAAAACTTCAGGTGATGACCAACGCAATGGAAATGGTGTATCTGATTTACCCTGGTAAATATCATCGATTATAAATCTATACAGATTAAGAAAAATAACAGATAGCTCTAAAATTTATTTCATGTACTTTACCTTGCCATTCCAAAATCACCAACTTTCACTACATCTTGCTCGCCCACTAGACAATTTCTTGCTGCTAAATCTCGATGTATAATCGATTTTGATTCCAGATAAACCATTGCCTTACATATTTGTAATGCAAACGAATTAAAACGTTTTAAACTTTTTTTTAAATCACCTAATAACAGTTCTTGATTATTTTGTAAATAATAAAGTAAACATCCATTTGATATGTATTCTGTAACGAGACAAATGCGTTCTTGATATCGACCGATTCCGTAGAGTCTCACTAAATTTGGATGATTGAGGTGCATCATAGTTTTTGCTTCTTTTAACATTTCTTGTTCACGTGAGCGATCATCATCAAGTGAAAATAGCAATGTTTTAATGGCGACTAACAGTTCATTATTGTAAATACCTAGAAAAAAATATTCAAAGCGCGCTAAAAAATAAGATTTGTTAGTTTTCCGTTCTTCGGTTGTTATCCTGCCGTACGTATAATATGACCTTATGACGGAAATTGTTGCATTGAAAAGTAGGTTTTTACAAATACTATCCTCTCGAGGTGACAAAACGCTTTTTGCTCGGAATCTAGTGGGTTATAGGTTATCCATCATGCTGATTACGAATATGACCCTTAATCCTTCGAAGACCTGGTTTTCTAGAAAATCAGTTTTTCAGAAACTCTAAAATATAACCAGAACCTTTCTTAATGAGACATGACTGTAGCCCGCAAATGTCTGATTAAAATGAGACATTCCCCCAGCTCTACACGACCGTTCTTTGCAAAGTTACAGAATTTACAAGAAAAGCCCTAAGTGTTCATTGTCGACTCAAAGCTACAGAAATAAGAAAGAAAAAGTTAATTTAGGGCTTTACTTGTAAATTCACAACTTTAGCCAATGAGTAAGCTCAACACTACTATCAACACCAAAATACAGTGTAGGTTGCCACTTTTTAATGGCTCAATAACAGCGTAAGATAGATCGTTGCGGTTTTCAGCAGTCGAAAGGAGACACCTGAGGCTAGTTTTTCACAAGCAAAGAAATTTTAAAAGCGGTTTTTGAGCAGATCTTTGGAAAATCACTTCACATCTCTGAAATCTACCCCATATAAATCTATCGATTTTTTTCATAGATAGGTAGTCCAAAGTGCCCTCTTCAACTATCTTACAATCAGAGGGTAAAAAAGTTCCGGTTAAGTTAATTTAACGCTATACTAACTGAAAATTAGTTAACTCTGTGGTAACTAATTAATTAATCCTACTTGGTAACTTTCTCGACCCAGATGGAACACATCCTGCAAGATCTGATGTTTTTTTGTGAAAGCTTGTAATAAGATCTGACGATATGATCTTACAAGATCTTGTTATAAGATGCGACAAGGTGCTGTCCGATCTTATGGCAAGAATTCCTATGATCTTGTAAGATCTTACAAAGTCTTGTGTCAGACATTGTTGACTTCTATATATTTTCTTGTCACAAGATTATATAAGATCTTACAAGATCGTATGAATTCCTCCCATAAGATCTTAGAAGATCTCATCAAATCGATGACTCATCTCTGCTACCCAGGTCGAAAAATCAGATCAAGATCTTACACGATCTTATAAAATCTTACGAAAAATCACAGAAACGCATCCATCTTATGAAATCTTATAAAAATCATACAAGAATCTTACGAAATTTGATGAAATCTTACTATAAGATCTTACATCAAGAATCAGCTTCTATGTTTCTTACAGAATCTTACAAATTCTTATACGAATCTTATGAAATCAGACGGAATCGTACAAGAATCTTATAAGATCTTACAGCAAGATTCTTTGAAAAAGACGGTTCTACGACCGCCTAGGAGTGATTGCATGAGAAAAACACACGGATTTTTTCTGAAGAATTCTGAGCAAAATAAGATGTCTTTCAGCTGTGTATGACACTTTCAACGAAATATTTTGGTTATTTTCGCGAAATATTTTGTGCTTTTCACCTTTTGTAAATCGACTTCAGTTCAGTGAGAAAGTGTCATACACAGCTGGGTGACATCTTATTTTGCTCAGAATTCTTCGCCCTATAAGACTGTATGGTTTGCAAAATTTGTCATAATCAAAAACAAAGGAGTTCTTATGATTATAACACACTGTACTGCATATATAACACCCGAACTTTTGCATATCTTTGATGACTAGACGCACCCGTCTAGATATTCTAACTAGCTCAGTTTGTAGAGAATTTCAAGGACTATCGAGTGGTATGTTTCTGAAAAATATATGATTTTTCTATATAAATAAACAACCTTATGCAGACTCGTCCTTTTCATCAACTTTCGATGAAAATTTTTCTGTACCAAATTAAATATCATCAAACTTTTGACAATAGTTCTAGATAGTACACTGTGAGTACTATCCATTGCAACCAGTCCGACTTCATTGTAGATGAAAAGCTCAAGGAACTGTACGTTACAAAAGTGTGCCTCAGAACTCCGTTTCGTCCTTATGGCAACGTGATGGGTGAAATTATAATAGAAAAAGTAAAATGCAGAGATATGGGGGATTCGACAGGAAATGATCAAGCGTATAGTCTTGTAGGATCAGATAAATTCTTTTAAAATCGTATAAAATCTTGTGACTTCTTATAAGGTCGTATAATTTCTTATAGCTTCTTTCTGTAAGATCCTGTAAGATCATACAAGATTTTGTATATTCTTATCATAAAATCTTGTAAAATCTTACAAGAATCTTGCTACAAAATGTCATATGAAATCTTGTAAGATGTTACAGGAAATTGATAAGATCGTTTGAAATCTTGTAATTTCTTATCATATGATATTCCACGGTCTTGTTATCTGATCCTTGTACCTGGGTAATGCATATTCCAATAACGTTCGTTTGTATCCTATAGTACTACTTGAATATTACTTACATATCTAAAAAATAGTTATTCTTATGAATATGCATAAATTTAACTAATTGGATTTTAATGATAATCTAGTTATCAAAACAGTTTCGTTAAATCATCAGTTCTAAACTAATTTTCGACTGGTTTTCTAGTTACTGTTGTTAGTAGTGGCGAAAATAAAGTAAAGGGAACTTTTCACCCATACGGACAATGGTCACGACAACACAGAAAATTCCCGAAAATTGTTCCGATGTGCTTTTTTTGTGTACAAGTAAATTCACAATAAGAAATGTTTGCGCATAATTATCACGATTTTCACTCTTTATTCCATAATGTTCCGATCTTTTCTGTTTTTTACTGTAAATGTTTTTATACAGTGTGCGTCTATATCTGTACTTAGAAGCCTAATGACTTTTCATTTTCTTTAGTCTAATTGGGCATAAGACACAAAGTAAACAGCTTATAGTTTTTTTGTATTCATTGTTTAAGCTTTGATTAATGGTTGAGCCTTATCCTACTATAAAGATACGTCGTATTTTCTGTCTTTTTCCTGTTCATTTTGCTGTTGCATATCGCAGTGGTAATTATTATTATTAACAAGTTATTGAGACTACCTCTTACCTTTATAAACGACTCCAAAATGTCCTCTTCCAATAATTTCTTGTCGTATCAATTTCTTCATATTGATTGTAAATTGTGAAGACGGGATTGAATTTGATGACGACGAAGATGTTGACGATGATAGTGATGGTGACGCGCGAGCAGATGATGTTTGTTTTACACTTGTCCAGCCGACTGTTGACGATGAGGCATGACTGTATTGTTGTTGGTCATCGTCTTGTTGCTGGTTTTTTTTATATTCTCCACTGCTAATACTAGTATTATGTGAAGGTAGCGAGATTTTTGTTGGATATTCTACAAGTTTACACGGTAAAACACCTTCATTGAGACGATGAGCATCTATCAAGTGTGCCAAAGTATCATACGAATCAGAAAATGGTTTAATGAAATATTTTTTATCGACATAATAGAGTAAATAATGATAAACAGTATTCGATAGTGATAGTACTGACAGCACGTAGGGTGTTTCAATCACTTGATTTAATGTTTTTTCATTTGTATTTTTCGTCGATGAATTATTGCTTCGTTGTGATTTTGTTAAATGATCACGTATAAGAAAACAACCGGGTCGATTTATCATTTTTAAAATGGCTTCCGTTTTTGATCGATCTAAATTTCGATGATAATAGGGTAGATGTTGAATTTGTTCTTCCTGTTTAGCATTATCGATGAGTGGTGATTTTGACAATGAAAAGGAATGCGTTTTTTGTAAAGATGATCGAACATTATTATTTGTACTGTTTGACGATAATTTTCGACGTTCTTTATTTCTCTCACTATCATCATCGTTTGTTCTCATTGTTTTCATCAAAGAAACCGATGAATTCCTTAAATCTTGATTTTCTCCATTTGTTGACGGTGATAGGCAAGAGACATTCGAGACGGATTCTGTTTCTACTATAGGGCGAAATTCTTGAGAATTGTTGGAGAGATTTTTATTGTTATGATGATTAGAGCGAGACAACTCAGAAGAAGAGGGTGCTGTTATATAATTTGGACTGAAAGTCAAAGCTGTATTAGATAGTTGAGATTCAAGACAAGACGATGAACGATCGATTTTATGAGATAATTGTGGAGTATAACAATCCCGATCGTCACAATATTCAAAATGATTAGCAGGCTAAAACAGAGGTGCATAAATTGTTTAAAAAGTCCGAAAACCACATAGTAATCACATTTAAATGACTCTTATCGGTTTTGAAAACTATAACGTACTCTCACAAATGAATTTTTACATAACTATAGAAATATATTTCTTATTTCTGTTTATCACTTACCGTATATCCTATTTGTCCTTTACTGTTCGCCACTTTCCACCAATCCGAATTTGTTTTTTCTAATAAAAAATAACTTTCACCCCGTTTTAACGATAAATCATGCGTTGTATGTGGTTTAAAATTATGTTTTGCTCTCAAAGCAGCAATCGAATCACGACAGAAATCCACTGAACTTGATGACTCTGTTACAACTGGAACTGTTGATGCTTTAGTAAATGTTGATTTATTGATGGCATGAAAATCATTCGCTGTTGCTGGATCAAATTCATTCAACGGACTTGATGAACGAGGTGCCATAGTTCCAGCGTTGGCTGTTGTTTCTAGACTCAGATCAATGCCACTATCATCGAAGTTTTGACCACCGTTATTTGGTGCATATGACAGTGATGGCAGAATCAATAGATCATTGGTTGTCGAGAGTGGTAATTTACCACATGTTGACTTTGAATAGATTGGACGAGTTTTTTTCGATGATGCTGATGAAGATCGGGGATGAACGTAATCTTTTATTTTTGACTGATGAGCTTTACTGACTCGTTTTTTTGCGCTTACATCTTTACAATCATTTAGCAATGAATTAGCGTTATTCTGATCATCATTATTGTTGTTGTTATCGAATAGAAAACTGTCAAATCCGTCGATCGATGCTAACTGAGTAGCTGAATCGTGCAAGTCAATAGTATTAGTTCCACTTGGATTATCAATTTTTAGAGTAAAGGGTGACTGTGAAAAAAGATCTGTTTGTGAACGATTGAACGAGTGAGATTCATACAATGACGAATGTTTTAGTTTTCGTTCATGTCGGTGTTGACGTGTACGTGAATTCTGATGTTGATGGGGATGTGGTATATATTGTTTATGGTCAGGAAATGTATAGAATGGCGTAGATGACTGTTGCAAATCTATAGTTCGACTACGACAATTTGTTTTTTTATGTTGTTTCAATTTTTTGTGATGATTATACGTCGTATCATTCAATATAGGGCTTAATGGAACAAATTTTAGTGGTGAAATAAATTGAGATGTAGTACGATGAACCGGATAATTGCTATTACTGTTACCCATGTTTCAATCTAAACGGTAGATGAAATACTTCTAATATTTAGACGGATAACCCAACTAAACTAATTCATTGAAGATTTGACCTAAAATCAACTTTTTTTATCATATTTCGTTGCTTATGTGTTGTATACGGGTACTCACCTATTTTAAACATTTAAACATATGCGATAAAAACATAAATATAAAGGTCATCAACATTTCAATAGTTCATGGACAAATATTTCAAGAAAAAATGTCGCCTTTTCTTCAAAATAGCAATCAAGAAAGTCTGGCAGTAAGATGGATGGAGAATTATACTTTCTGTAGAAAGAAAGTGCTTCTTTTACATATCACTGTATCGAAAAATTTTAAAAGTTTTTTGGGTCAAAACCGATTATTGATTCGTCGTCTTCTCCATAGTCGATTATTTGTTACACACTAACTTTTGTATCAGGATATTTTAGAAAAAAACTTTCCCATGGTCTTACTCAAAATTTTTCAGAAAATTATTGTGAGAGATCAAAGTGAAAACGATATCCAAATTTTTTTCTAAAGTACTTTGATACAAAAGTTAGCGTGTACCAGATAATCCATATCAATTGATATGGAACTTTCGTGAACTTGACTTCTTTCGTGAACAAAAAAATTCAAATTCATGTGGAATCATGGAAAAGTACTTTTTCCTATTCAGCACACTCAATAACCCAGAAGATTTTCTATTCTTAGTAAGACGTATTGTCAAAAGTTTAGGAAAATTTCTGAACAAAATGGCGAAAGAAAATCTGCTATGGGAACATAATTTTTGACAATACATCTCACCATAAATAGAAAATCTTCAGGATTATCAAGTGTGCTAAATAGGAAAAAACGCTTTTCCACGACTCTGCATGAACGCACGAAAATGACAAGAATTCAGTAAGAGTCGTATCAGAATCAGCTAAGACTATAATAAAAAATTGTTAAGAAAGCGATAAAAGTCTCATGAGATTCTTATAATTTTCTTACCAAATTCTTATTAGTCTCTTAATGATTTGTCCCATCAACCTGTTATCTCCACCCTATTATCATTTCTAGCATTCTGACTGAATCAGTTAATGTGATGTATATACTAACTAGATGATAATTGACTGTTGAGACGAGACTATTAGCAATTTTCTAAGAGAGTATAATGAATTAACATAGTTTGAACAAAATTCTTTCATACATAAATAGAATTTTTACCTTTTTCACGAAATATTTTTAAATGTGATATGTGAAGAGATGGCTCTTTTCCAGGTTCAACGATCAATTATAAAATGCATATTCTCTTTTTTTTGATATCACCGAAACAGGTTTATATTTGTATACTGCCTCTCTATAAATGAAGCGTCAAGGCACAAACGTGATGAGAAAGCAACTACGCATCTCTCGTTTTTTACACAGCACTTTTTTTAAAATAAAGATATATATATTATATATAGAAATGTACATATCTGTATATTTATATTTTTATACACGAAAATATTAATAGATACGTTCATTTTTATTCATTTTTATATTTTTTTTATTCAACAATAACATAAAAAAACGCGAAATATCATTCTGCGTGGTTCATGTAATCATTACATATCTACCTGTATGTTGAACAAGAACGAAAAAGAAAAAAATTTAATTTAACAAAAACGCAGGTTAACATAACATTTTAAGTTAAATCGATCATCGACGTTCGTTGATCTTCATGTTTATATTTATCATCTAATTGTATGAATTAGGGGCCTGGTTGATGTACATTTATCGTTGTTAGTGTGCAATTTGTGCCGATAAATTATTCAAAGGCTTTTTATTTTATTTATGGTTAAAATGACAAGTAACAAGAATAAGCATGAACTACTCATAAGTATCTATTCATGTTTCACGTGATTTTTGCTATCCCACGTGATCTGTTCAATAGTCGGAACCACTTTGTTCAATAAATTAGAATTAATAGAGCATAGAAAAAATGACAGTTTTTAATAAAAGAATAGAAATTATTGAAATTTCTTTTAACAAATGATAATAATGAAGTGTAAGATCATAAATAAAGCGATCAATACACACATTCTAAATGTATTTGTAACGTTTCGCTAATTTATCATCAGGAATAGTGAATACCCTCATAATACTACACAGCCCTCAAGTAAAAGTCCTCTTACACTGAGCAATTTGCGCATATCTTATGGGCATTGGACTTTTTCTTACTGAAAACGATTACTTGAATGAGTTATATAATAGGTCAACTGTTCGAATCTCACGAAAAACCAATTATTTTTCTTTTGTATGATTTTTGGCGTCTGTTGCAGATGAAAATGACAGCATATATACTTTCAACCATGTTGATCACGATTTTCAAATTGATTTTTCATTTTCTACCTTTTACTACTCAGAAACTCAATCATAAAATTTTTTGCTAACGCACTTAAACGCTTTACACACTGAGATTGACCGTCTAGAAAAAACACACCCATTTTAACGTACTTTATTTTTTACAGTACAACATCCTGAGATCATATCCATTTTGATATTGGCATATTTAATTTAACTTTTTTGTTATTTTTAGATAATGATGTCTTATATAGAATAAAAGTTAAAAAAAACACATTTCTGACGACAGTATAAAAACAATTAATTTATTAAACAAATTAAATAAGAAGATCGTTAAATACTTGTATAAATCTTCGCCATCTCAATCTCTATGACATTTATTTTCAATGAAAGTTTATGTCACAATTTTCATAATGACATATATCATTTATACTAACTGTTGATATTTGAAGATTACTGTTAGAAAACAGTAGGAAAATTAGAGAAAAAGTTGTTTCCACACAAAATTGATAGCTGCATCTATCTTCAGTAGCGTCGGTGTTCTAACAGACACAGTACAACCAGTATACTTTACGCATTGTTGTTGATACCCTAGACAAAATCCTACGCACTTCCTGCCTATTTCCTACTAGGATCTTACAGGATCCTAACGTTTAGGATCCACATAATAACTTCGTAGTAAGATCCTAAAATACTAGGATCCTACCAGGATTTCGCTTAAGTTTGTTGAGGATCCTAACAGAACCTTAGAAAATTCTATGACTTTCGGGTATACCTGATTTCATTCGGATTCTGTAGGATTTTGTTAGGATCCTGAGAAATTAAAGCGAAATCCTAGTCGGATATTGATAGGATCTGTCTCGAATCCTGTAAGGAAACTCGCAGGGATTTTACTAGGATAGGAGAATCAAAAATGCTAAAGAAATCATAGTAAAGAGCAAAGTTTTCTACGAGAATACTTTTAGTTAGTAAAATTTAGACGAAAAATGAGTTGACAGAATTTCAGCAGTATTGCTGATTTCTTACTTTTTCAAATAAATAGCTTATATCAAAGATCACTATAAGCTCTAATTAACATAATATCGTTACATCGGAGAACAGTAAAGTAATAAAGAATGATAAAAATGACAACTACATAAAAAAATGTAGATTCTAAGCTCTAACACCACATTCGAATTCTAAAAAAGCTGAAAAGCACAACAAATAAATATTCTATAGCAATCATGTGTATACTCATAAAATATAACTACATTGTTGACTAACTTTCTAGTATTCTTAAGAATTTGTCTTGTTTTGTAATAAAAAAGATTGAAGATATTCGTGCACGATATTTAATAGCATATTGAAGCAAAAACACGTTCAATATTATGAAAAAGTTCTAGTTTTAATTTTTCACAATGCTGAATATAAATGAATTTTTATATCTTTTTCTGATTTTTCAAAAGTGCTCACAAACCGGTGATAGGAAGAAGCGAATATTTCGTATTACAGAAAACCAGTTCCAAAAACTACTGAAGAACAGTACCAGGGAGAAGTGAAATATATCATCATACCGTTCCACTCAACTTATCACGCTCTTTCGACTGATGACATCAGATATTATCCAAACTCACCCAGGAAAGAAATTATAGTTTTTCACAATACTATAAATAGAGAGTAGAATACATTTTGAAATTGATAACAAATAAAATAATGTGCGGAAAATAATAGCTATTAGTATAAATAAACGACGATCCACTTGATTATTAAAATGATCCTGAGAGATCCAAGTAATCGGTTGATATGAGTTGTGTAACATTTGAATCCTCCTTTTTACTCCTCAATATTCCAGTAGTATCTAGTTGTTCAGCGAGTACTGTTTTCTTTGTTTGTCGATTCATCGTAAATTCATATTTTTTTCAACATCTCTCTAAAACTTTTTATTATTTTCATTTTGAACTTTGTATTCGTAAAACCATGTTTGAAAAGTCGATTTCTCTTCAGTTTGGAAAAAATGTTGATCTCTTATACTGAACCGATTCAGAATGTTCTACCGGTTTCAACTTTGACCTACAAGGTATTGTAAAAGAATGACGTTCATATTTCACGTTTGTTTTTGTTGACCATGAAAAAGTTATCACATTTTAACATCTTCCATACCTTTTGCTGAAAGTCCTTTAGTATTATAAAATAGGGAAAAACTTGTGACATGGTACATTTGGAGAAGGAGAGTAAAGAGATTATAGGCATGAGTTCGATGTATGTTAATGGTGCCCAGAAAAAGCCATAGACAATACTTGTTGTCGGTTGTCAATCTGATTATCAAGTACCTAGTATTATCAATTACAATTGCTATGATTACGCGTCTTTCATCAAATACCCGATCAAGACTTATTTTACTCAACTTTTCATTGACATAAGAGCTTTGTTGATGTTTGCGCAAATTTCAGTAATCAATATTACAACTGAATCTTTAATTCGTTTTGTTTCTATCGATCCGTTACAGAAAAATAGAAAAAAACAATTCATCTGGAGAATCCCGATTTTTTTCACACAAACGCGTTCACTATTTTTATATTTCTACAAATCTAACTCTATTCGTCCATCATTAGAGTTTTACTGTTACAGTGACATCAGTCAACTCACGATGACAGTCATTTTTCTATACGTTCAATGTCGCTTTTAAGAATAAAACTTATATTAATTTCTCTTTTTCCTGAACAATGTGAATAAAATGTATTATTTTCGTCAAATTCGTTATTTTGTTTTCTTTTTGTCATCTATGTGTAATGCACGCACATTGATCAATCAATAGAGTTCTACCATTTATCTTTCATCTTTTTCTTGATATCGCATGTAGAGATCTGTATGTCAAACATAAGGATACATTCAGAAAGGAAAGCATAATCTGCGTGTGACATCAAGAAAAAGATAAAGATACGCTAAACGGTAGAGCTCTAATAAGATGATGTAAAGTATTTGACTATAGTGATGACATATGCAAATTCCATTGATAAGTTACTACTCTGTGTTTGTTTTAGTCAAATTCTCTGTACACTAGTTTCACTACACGACTGGGTGATTTGCGAATAGTTTGTACTAATTTTTAACAGACATCCAAATGAAGAGGGAGAAAGATCAGCCAAAACTAGATTTTAATTATTTTAAGTGTTCGTAGCGGATATTTTCGACGAATTCTATTGGTCGAGTTCAATTAGAATAAGCACTTTGCGAAAAATGTTCCCTGTAATTATTTTTTAAGCAATTCTGACTCAATTAAGTTAACGATAAGTTAAATATAGCACTAGAACTTCTTCTCGCTCAATAGAAATCAAAATCAGAGTAAAACTCCCGTTAAAGTACTGAAAGCAGTAATCGATATTTTTGTGATCGGAAAAAGAGGATGAAAACGAAGCGGACCAAAAATATCTTTGATGCCATTTTGTAGAGCTCGACGAGTACTACAAATGGGAGAAAAACAAAACAATTCTATCGTATAGTTTTTGTACTGTGGGGCCTGAAAGTTGACTGTTTTTAAAAAAGGGTCTTCAAAGATGGACTGCATACTCAAAGAGGAAGTTATATCTCGACCTTATACTTTTTTTATTGTATTAATCAGTTCTTTAACTTCATTTTTATTTATAGTGCAAAAACTTTTTGTTTTGTTTTGCCTTCAGAAAAGGTAAAATACTGAATGCCGTTTGTTCATTTTCGCCCATTTTGTGACAGCTGGCCTGCCATTGTAAAAGTACTAGGACACGTTTTTAATATTAGTATACTCGAGGTGCTCTTTCGTGTGTTATGTCCAACTGTGGTGTAAGCTCTGTAGAGCCAGAGGAAAACAAGATCAAAGTTGCTTTATTAGAGGGAAGATCGAAACTTGACATCCCTGAAAAGGCATGTAGAATATTACCTTTTTAGTGAACAAATATACTTATATTTATATAGAATACTTATACTTATATTAGGAATCTAGCAAATAAGGAGATATCTTTCTTCACACAACATATATTATGTGTGGACATTGCCACACATTTGACATGGAAAGAGAGCACGTTAAACGAGAGGAAAGTGAACAGAAAGACAAACATTTGACACATTTGTCTACGAATATCTTACATGTGCGAGAAAGATATCTCCTGATTTGCTAGATGCCTATTTACTTATATAGAATCCCAAGTCATTTTCAAAGACAGTTCGTATTTACTGGTAATACTGGCTTTCTAAGAAGAAATGCTGTTCTGTTTCAGCCTTTCCACAAGCACACTCAGAGTTACTAACTACGTTCTTTTTACAGAGGTGATCATTCAAACGAGAATAATTTACGCGCATTTCATTAAGCATCATGCCGTATATGTTTTTGAATATCGATAATTTATAGCGACGAAAAAAATAATCATTTATTGCAGAACAGAATTTTCTTAAAGCTGAAATTGTAGTAATAGCAGCAGTAGGCAAGACATTCCATTGCTTAATTCCCCATGGAAAAAACGTAGTTTCGAGCTTAACTGTACTATTAAAAATCAGATCGGAACGATGTTTTCAGTGTTGCTTCGGATTTGACTTCTATCGCAACAGAACGAACCTAAAGTTTAAGGTTGACCTGCTTTGTTCTGCGTACACCGAGAACATAAAAGTATGAAACCTGTACGACAATTAAAATGACAAAGCAAAATTATTGTTCTCTGTGACACATTACCATTTCATACAGAAAGTGAATATGTTTTTATAAAAAGAGAACATATATAAAGGTAAATTGTTTCATTTTAAACAGCTCATAAATAGATTTTTGTGTACTGTTAGTTGAAAGTGTATTTTATTTTGTATTAGGATCAACGTAATGTTCACGACTAATCAACCACGTGTCTGTACCAAAGATAGTTTCAGTGCTAGTTGTCTAAAAATATTACCAGCTCCATCGGAAAAGTCGTTCGTTGATTCTATTCTGGCCTATGGAAATCGTCAAGCAGCAAACTTTAAGACTTTGACAAATGATGAGTACATCTTTTATTTCGCCATTGGTAGTATGATTAATCCGATATCGCTACATCTACGAAATATTAGACCCATTGTCTCTTACCCTGCTACTTGTTATGACCATCAAATCGTCTTTTGCGGACCTAATGGTATGGCTAATATCGAATCAGCACTTGGTGAAAGTCTTGAGGGAGTTGTTCATCTTCTAACAGCAACAGATATGGATACTCTGGACAAAGTCGAATTATTTTACAATCGAATTCCAGTGACTGTTACCGACTATTCGAATCAGACACAAGTGACTTACGCGTATCAGATAGATTTATCAAGACTTTCTAACTTAGAATACAGTTTACCATCAGAACGATATATGGATATTATTATTAAAGGATGTGAATATTATGGCGTTAGACAAGCGTACATTGATCGATTGAAACAAATCAATGTTGTGCCACGTATGAAACCGAGTGAATACAAGTGCATTACTGATGTACCCGATGTTCATTATACCCTCGATGATCTTGTTTTGCGTAACGGTACAAATAATTATCCTGTGTGGATTAGTGTAAACCATAAAATTTTCGAACATACTGGTCTCCCATCACCAGATGATCCGTCTTATAATCAACTTTCTACAACTTACAATTTAATCAGAAATCTACATGCTGGCAAAGACATGACGCTCAAAATATCACAAAATATCTATGAACCTTTGTATGGTATACCTTTAACAGAAGATGAAATGACTCTGGAACATCGCTCTATGGCTGAAGATACGTTCCTAACATTCATTTCAAACCCAAAATTGGGCGATAAAACTTACTGGCGACCAATTGGTAAACTAATTAAATCTTCTTCTGAAAAATGTACACCAAACTGCTAAATTATTGCCTCTTCATAGTTAACTAAAATAAAGTAGATATTCATGATCAGTGTAAAAAATTGAGTCGAACAATATATAATTCAATGTTTTTTCGAAATAAACGTCTTCTGAAAAATCCCTTTACATGGTTTTTTCCGGAAAACGTTGAATTATATGTTATGCGACTCAATGTTTTACAGTGATAGAACACTGATTTTTTACACTGAGAAGAAATGGAAAAAAGGTCGAGCCTTATTTCGCAGCGATAAAGCGTAGGATCGGCTTAAATTGTTTTGTTTGAAAGAATAAAGTATAGAGAACAAAACAGGCCAACCTTAAACTTGAGGTTCGTTTTGTTGCGATAAAATTCAAATACGAAACAACACTGAAAACATCGTTGCGATCTGACTTTTTAATACTTTCCGCCGCTCCTTCTGCGGTGTCGCGTGTTTTGGAGTTTGAACTAACTAAACATGACCGAAAATATTGCACCATTGCAAGTCTAAAAAAAGATTTCTCAATCTGGCTGAAGATGCAGAGGTCTCCAGAGGCAAAAAAAAGTCGGTCCCCAAAGGGTTAAAAACCACAGTTACAAAACATTGAAGTTATATAACTTCGATTAGTTTAGTTGATCGGCGCGTGTGTGCCAATCAGAACCATGCCATTTATTAAAGCTTCAACAGAACAGTTTTAGTGGAAAACTAACGATGTTGGAAGCCATTTTATTGTGAGCCTATCAAGCGGCATATGTATTTTAAAACTTAAAAATTCAATAACTCGGAATGGAACGAGCTGTAATGCTGAAACTGTTTGTAAATATCACAGACGTATAGAAGCGCCATAGAAAAAGTATTGAGCTCTTAACTACTGTTATTGACAGAGTTATGAATTTTTTAATTTTTTCGTGTTTCCTTGAAAACGTCTTTAATATCGTGAGTTTCACAAAAAACTCATTTCATAGATTCGATGTACATCCGACAGTCTGCGAGTACGCCAGTACTGTACTTTACTTTGAAAAATGTTGAATTATATGTTATTCGACTCAATTTTTTACACTGATCACGAATATCTACTTTGTTCTTAAGTCGTCTTGCCAAACATATGCCTAAAGAGTAAGCAAGGAATTAAATTTTGATATCTGTTAAAGACATTTATTTGAAGTTCATCCTGAGATTCTAGTAGTCAGTGGTTTCAACTAGTAGAAACTATTCACAAATCACTCACTCATGCTGTGAAGCTAATAAACATAGAATTAGGCTGAAACAAACACAGACAGCAGCGGCTCATCGACAGGATTTTGGATAGAGAACGGCCGTTATACTCTAAGTACTTCTCAGCTATGTTCTAAGTAATTATCTCACATAGAAGTTCTATGGAACTTGAAAGAAATAACATACGGTACAAAAGTTTTGGAAAAAATGTCAAACCTTAGTTCTCGACGACGGAACTAAGCCGCAGGAACATTTTTTCGATTGACCTTAAACAAGTTCCGCAACACTGCAAAACGTTAATTTCGCGAATAATACTACCCTTAAACCTATCAGTCATAAATGAAGTACACTATCGGATACGTAAAAAACTATCCAAAGCGTATCTTTCGAAATGTCTTCTATTTGCTTTCTGATGCTTTTGTCAACTAATTGTTTTTCTCAGTTTTGAACTTTTTACTAAACCGACGTGCCAGCTGACGAAGCATTTCGAAAAATACAGCATCGAAAACGTAACCAACACTAAACTTTAAATACACGGTTCGATAAGACTTGCAATGGTGCAATATTTTCGGTCATGTTTAGTTAGTTCAAACTCCAAAACACGCGACACCGCAGAAGGAGCGGCGGAAAGTATTAAAAAGTCAGATCGCAACGATGTTTTCAGTGTTGTTTTCGTATTTGAATTTTATCGCAACAAAACGAATCTCATGTTTATGAGCTGTATAAAATGGAACAATTTACCTTTATATATCTTCTCTTTTTATAAAAACATATTCACTTTCTGTATGAAATGGTAATGTGTCACAGAGAACAATAATTTTGCTTTGTCATTTTAATTGTCGTACAGATTTTATACTTTTATGTTCTCTGTGCACGCCGAACAAAAAACGTTATAGTAGGACTATAGCAAATATTATCTGTAATAGTCCTATTATCCTAATATCCTAATTTAGCCCTATCTGTACGCAGCCTAACAGGCTACGTACAGATATGACGTATGTGCCTTTTCTTTCTTTCTGTATATACCAAAAAGCAATGTTGATAGAACGTATGTGTGATATACACAGATTAATGTGATATAGAGCTGAAAAAAAGAAAAGCATAACATATACGTCATATCTTTATCTAGCCTAATAAGACAACAAAATAAAAAAGAAACAGGAAATCCAAACCTTGCCAGGAATAAGACAAGAAAGTCGATCAGCAAGTGACGTTAAAGGAAGAAAGAGAACAGAAAAGAGACATTTGCCACATATATGACCTGCGAGAAGAGATATCTCCTTATTTGCTATAGTCC